CTCGTTCTTGTGGTTGTCCCCCTCCCAGTGCAAGAACATTTATGTTGAGAAAATTAGAGGACCTTCTTGCAGCTGAGGCTGTTCCTGTAGCAGTTCTCTGGCCAACTTGTAGCTTATTTGGGAGCTCAATATGTTTTCTCATGGAACTGCAGATCTTTGGGGCTCTTTATGCAGGTCCTATACCCATAAGTAGTCTGCTTCACACAGCATGCTAAGTCATGGTGTTGTTAGGCCTAAACCCAGATCATAGTTCCAACTAAGGTGCAGCACCATAACCACCATGGTTTGTTTTTACTTTGTGACTTAACCATGGTGCTGTGTTTGGTCCAAACCTTTATGGAGGAAGGTAAATTAAGGATGATCTTCACTTCCATCTTCTAGGCACGCAGAGAAATGTGGCGACTCCAACCACATTGCATCTGTTGCTCCCAGCATGAAATGAGAACACCATGGAATGTGGACAGGCATAGCATTTTATCACAGGCATGGGAGCTCCCATCTTCATCAGGCTGCTAGGATTTCTTTAATATCCAAACTGAGGAAGTGTCAGCCAGCTGCTACAAATTACTGGGATATCTATTGACAGAAATAACTACTCGCAAACTGCTGCTTGCCGTGATTCTTGTGTTAGCCAAGTCTTTTAACCCTAGTTCATTCTAAGCAAGATTTAGTATTTAATGCAAAAACACCCAGTAAATTGGGGTGGAGAAGGTTTTCTTTCGAGAAGTATTATTGGGTATCTATGAGCTGGTATATTTAATATGTCATAAATTCCTTTCTATGTTCTAAAAGCAGAAGAAGGGTAATGGGGTATCAGACATGCACACAGGTGCACTTGGGCATACAGACCTCCAGTTAAAAAACTGATGGGGAGCAAAGGGGGGGGGCTACTCCACCATTCGCTCTGTTAAAGAACCATTTGTTAAAACTTGTCTCAGAAGACCATCTTTTTGTAATGTTATTAACCACCACTTGGCCTCTAAACAATAAATCAGTAAATAATGAACCAGCAAATCTGTGCCAATTACAACTCAGATGCAGTGTTAAAAGAGAGGGAGCTGGGCAGAATGTGGACAAAAGCCAAAAGTGGGGATGGTGTGGCTCAGTAGTGGGATCCCGACCATTTTTCTTTTAACCCCCAGTGCCTTGAAGATGGAGGAAGTGGGGGACGGCTTCAAAGGCCCTCATGTCTCCTCTCCATAGTCTGCAAAATGGTTTTAGTAAAACTTCAATTATCCCAGGGCTTTTTAATTTTTTTTTTTTTAGCAAAAAGGACAACCTTCCTCTCCTGGACAAGTCCGGCAATGAAACCTCAGAATAGCTGGAAATGCTGAAATAATTGCAGCCAGCTGTTTCCCTAATGCATTGCTTTGATTACATAGCACCTTTCTGTTTTTTAAAAGAATCCATGAAGAATGGAGACAAAGAACTATGGAAAACACTGATGCCACATCATGTACTAATTGGATAACGTGGTACTATTACCCTGTACTAAACTGGATATATGAATCATGGTTTTTTTTCATGGGAGAGGAACATTTTAATATTTATTTATTTATTAATTAAATTTATATGGCCACCCATCTCATATACATGACTCCAGGCATCTGACAATTAAAACATAACCAATAATTATAAATGTATTTTATTTACATAAGTGTATTTCTGTGCTGCTTCCCATACAATCTCAACTGGTTTACAATAAAAATTGAAATATACTACTAAATGCCATCAGTTCCATCTATGTGGTCACAAGGAGTCAAAAACCACAGTGGCATGTAATCAATCAAACATAAATTAGCTAATGGGTACCTACCTCTGTTCTTCTAATTTTAACAACCAAAACATTTCTTTTTCTTCTACAAAATAAAATAAAGTTGAGATTCCCAAGTTGCTAGACTGATGAGAAGCTATGTGCCCCAAAGAGGTGATATTAGCAAATCAAAAATTCGACTGGTGGGGTCCAGAAGGCGAGCCTTCTCTGCGGTAGCCCCCGCTCTTTGGAACATTCTGCCTCCGGAGGTGCGATTGGCCCCCATACTCCTGGCCTTTTGTAAGGCTTTGAAGACCTGGTTCTGCCACCTGGCCTGGGGTGGGGTGGGAATACCTCAAG